TCCAGCAGGGTGCCCCAGGGATCTGTGTTTGGCCCTAGATAGATAGCATGCTTATCAAATTTGCATATGTCCCAAAGCTGTGAAGGACACATAACACTTTGAATGATAGAATCAAGATCTAAAAATATCTAAAAACAACTAGTAGAATCTAAGCCCCTTGAAGGCAAGGACCGTTCTGTTTGTGTCTTTTTATTCCCAGCAGAGCGCCTCACACATAGTTAATACTTCATAAATATTTAGTGAACTGAATTTAGTTTAAAATCTGGCAGAAACAAATGAGATGAAATTGAATAGCAGTAAATTTAAAGTCTTATACTCGGGTTCAAAAAATCAACTTCAAAATTGGTTTTGTTCAGTTCTGGGAACCATGTCTTAGAGAGGACATTGATGAGCAACCAGAATGGCAAATGACCTCAAATTTAGAACTGGAGATGGTTAGTCTAGAGAAAAGGAGCTTGGGAGGGCTGGGGAGGGATGACAGCTATCTTCATGTCCTTGAAGGTCAGTCAGGAAGGAGAGAGATTAGACTTTTCTGTTTGGTCCTAGAGGGTGGAACTAGGAGCAATGGGCAGACATTCCAGAGGCAGAATTAGGTTCACTGTAATGAAAAACTTCCTAACAATTGTCCAAAAACGGGATTGACTGCCTCAGGAGGTAATGAGTTCCCCTCAGTGGAGGTCTTCAAGCAGAGACTGGATGACCATCTGGAGGCATGCTGTAGAGGAGATTCATTCTCAAGAGTAGCTTCTAAGGTCCATTCCAATAATGAGTGTCTGTATGTATGGGTGGTCAGAACATAATAAGATAGGTATGTTAATTTAAACATGAATACTACCCCAGTAGGAATCCCAGTAGGTCTTAGTTGTGTCCTCCCTTTCTTTGTCATGTCTGACTCTTCATGACCCCATTTTGGGTTTTCTTGGCAAAAATACTGGAGTGGTTTGCTATTTCCTTCTCCAGATCATTTTATAGATGAGGAAACTGAGGTAGAGTTAAGTGACTTGCCCAGGATCACATAGCTAGTAGATGTTTGATGCCATATTTGGATTCATAAAGAGAAGTCTTCCTGACTCCAGGCTGCACCGCTTAGAGGCCTCTCTTTCTATTTCTTACAAAATTAATCTTGGTTATCGGGCTCTCCCAAAAGATCAGTGTTACTGGTCCTCTATGTTCGAGACAAAGAGGACCTCACTAGGGTTATGATGACCACAGTCTGTACCACGGCCAACAGCGATATTGGCTTCACAAATAACCAAAATGTTCATTTCAGAAGGTAGCCAGGGCAAGTGTAAAATAGCATTTTCTAAACTTCACAAACTACTAGAATATCTATTACTAATATGAGGGGATAACACAGGAGATGAAGATATCCAGCATCATGGGCAGGGAACCAAAGAGGGAGGGAAAGCTTTAAGGGAGGGGCTGAGGAATGGGAAGGAAAATGGACCAAATGTTGAAGGAAGAGGTGGTAGAATAGGAGTGGTTGGGACAGCCCAGGTCATAGGACCACATATCCAAGAGATACTATTAGGGGTCCTAGTCTGAAGGAGAATATAGATTCAAACTTATGCTTAAAGTAGGCTGGGCTTCATGTTCTCCCACCTCTTTCAAAGCCCAGTGTAGGGGCCTGGCATTGGGCAAACCACTCCATCTGCTTTGAGGAGATACTCATGCCCTATTGTAGGCTCTAGGGCCAGTGGGTTGGTGTCTCCTGTGGAAGCTGGCCAGCAGAGGACACAGTATTTCCTCCATTCTCTCCAGGGGTGTCTCCATGGCACCCGTCACCATGGCTCTCAACCAGGACCCAGGTGGGTGACTATCTAAAGAACTTGAATGAGTCTCCCCGAGGACGCTCATGGCTTCCACGTCCCTCGAGACCTGTTACTGAAATGCACCCACATCCTCACTCTGGGAGTTAGGGAAGGGGAGGGAATCCAAGGATATGGGAACAGCAGCACTCCAAGGACTAGGAGCTTCCCTTGGCACAGCTGTGATCGTGGCAGAAGAGAAGTCAGCAGCATCACCTTCTGCCTGCCTGACTAAGGGCAGCCACATCCCACAGGACAAAGGTTCACACTCTGGCCTGTGACTTCCACTCTAAACTGCTAGGATTCTGAGTCTCCTCCCTCTGCCCCACCTGTTCGAAATGACCAGGCAGCTATAAAATAACAGAACAAATGCTGGATTTGGATGGAGGAGATGCGGTTTCAAACCCGGCTCTGATGCATACCATCTATATGAACTTGTTTGGTCCTCTGTGGGAATGAAGGATGAACAACAATACGAACTCATCAACTGAGCCTCAGTTTTCTCATCTGTAAATAGGGACAAGTATCCTTATAGAAGCTACTTCACAGAATTATAAGATCAAATAAGATATCAAATCAAAAGCACTTTGTCAACCCTAAAATATTACATACCTATAAATAATTAACATTAAAATAAGGGAGGAGTTAGAGTAAATGTTCTTCATTTTCCTGTAGATGCTTTCTTTCAGAATCTAATTTACTCGCCTATTTCACAGATAGAAATACTGAGACCTATGTTTAAGGACAAATTATCCAGTAGAGTCACAGAATGTCAGAGTCTAAAGTAGCCTTGGGGAGAATCTATTTCAGGCCCTACCTGAATAGGGTATTTTTATCATCCCTGGCAAGGGATCACCCAATCTCCATTTGATCCAAATATCTTAATTTTACAGATAAGGCAAATGAGGCTATGTGACTGGTCACAAGTTTACATCACTAGTTGGTGGTAAAGTGAGATCTGAACCCAAGCCTCACACCCACTCCCACTGACACTACATATAAGAGAGCAATGTATGGGGCCTTAAAAGGGGGAAAGGGACTCCTAGTCTACTATCACCCCATCAGCCAAATTGCTTTTTACAAATCATCTTCAGAATATTCATTAAAGAAAAGCTCTGGGCAAAAAATTAGTGATCAAAGGAGATAATAGACATAGTCTTTTACCATAAAATACTATACATATGTGGACAGCGAGGTAGAGCATTGGGTAGAGCACCACACCTGGACTTAGGAAGACCTGAGTTCAAATCCAGCCTTAGACACTTATTAGCTATGTGACCCTGGGCAAGTCACTTCACCCTGCTTGTTTCAGTTACCTCATCTGTAAAATGAACAGAAGGAAATGGCAAACCATTCCAGTACCTTTGCCAACAAGACCTCAAATGGGGCCACAGAGAACTAGACATGACTGAAAACGATTAAACAACAACACCAAACATATAAACTTGAACTCTTATAATCATTTGAAATCTGAGAAATAACCCTCACCCCACTTACTATTCACAAAAAGATGATTTCAGCCAGATTCCCCCAAAGGTGGCAGTGTGGCTCAGTGGGACAGACTGAGGCATAGATAGACAGATGGACAAAAGAAGTCTTGGGTGAGAAAGAAAGAGAACTTCCAGTCCAGTCACAGCTGGTGGTGACTCACTGCTAAAGTGGACTAGCCAGGCACATCATGACCTCTCTGCAGATGGCTGAGTTCCTATTATACCTTTCCTCATCCCAGTCACCTTGCCTGCCTCCATTTGCAAGATTTCAAGAAAAAATTTCCCAGAGTTAGAAATAATACAGGAGTAGGATACAGTTATGTTGGGGGCACCTACATCAAGGGGGTCAATGTGTTACCCTCTGATCACTGCTACTGGAGAAGTAATCACGGAAGGAGATTTCCTTTCCAATGGGCACCCATGATCAAGACTTGGTATGCAACCTACACATTGGGATAGCAAAGGAGCCACCCACATGATACAGTGTGAGGGCTCCCCAAATTTCTACCTGCTCCCAAATGCATTCCAATCATTAGACTATAAAGACAGGGGGTGTTGCCTCCAGACGGCCTTATTAAGAGTTCTTAACTTGGAATGCTCAAAAAATATTGATAACTGCATGTCAATATAATTGATTTACTTTGTAATCCTATGTATTTTATTTGATACTTTTAAAAATATTATTCTGGGAAGGGGGTCCATAGGCATCCCAATACTGCCAAAGGGGTCTTTGGCAAAGGAAGCCTAAGAACCCTGCCCTACATAAATTGCAAATGACTTGCAGGGTGACCGTGGTCCTCTCTCTTTCATTAACACAGGTCTATTTATCAGCGAGTTAGTTGATGTGTTGAACCTTGAGAGTTTGACATCTGGGACAGATAAGTTTCAATAAGGGAGACAAAGAGTGGGGCACATGGCAGGGACAGGGCAGGCTGGGGATGGAATGAGGGTGTTCGCTTAGGGAGAGTAAGCCTAAGGGAATAGGGAATTAAAACAAATGTTCCTCAGCTTTTGCCAACGCTGATTCTCCAGTGTGGTGTTGCCTGGCTGGGATTCTATCCTAAGGAAGGAGACCTCTGGAATGGGGACATTTTTTTCCAGAGAAGAGAAGATTAAGGGGATACGTGGTAAATGGCTTCAGGTATTTGAAGGGCTGACATTTGAAAAGGGGATTAAGCTTATTCTATGTAACTCCATAGAGAAGACCAATAGGTCTAGGTTACAAGTAATCAGATCTTAGCTCAATAGAAGGAGGAAAGTTCTAACAATTAGAGCTAAACCACTATCATTGGAGATGGCCAACCAGGATGTAGATGATTATCTCTTAGTAATGTTAGATATACAAAGAATTCCCGTTGAGGATGGGTAGTTGGACCAGAAAGGCAGCTTCTAGTGATAAGGGTGCTAGTCAGGGGAACCAGGAGAAACCAGAGATCAAATACTGACCCCAACATTTACTAGTTATATGATTACGAGCAAGTCACTTTAGCTTCTCTTGGCCTCAGTTTCCCCATCTGTAAAACACATATAATAACTATAGTAATTAAATCATAGGGTTGCCGTTTGAATCAAATGAGAGTATGTGTTAAGCTCTTTGTAAACCTATGTTAATGTATTATTATCAGGTGATTCCTAAGGTCTTATACAAACTTCAGACCCTCTCCACAAGTCAATAGGTCCACCCTAGGGCTTTAGCACTTACCCACTGGTGTATCCTCACTGATCAGCAGGTATGTGTCAAAGAAATGGTTGATGAAAAAAGGCAGCCGGTTTACCTGACCTAGGAATCAAAGAAAAAAAAAGGGAGTCAAGCAAAAGCCTATTGAACACATTCTATAAACCGAGGCAAGCTTAGTGCTGAACAGTACATGGAAAGGGAAGGCAGGAGACTAGGGAAGCTAACTGAGTGGCATGGGGCCGTTAAATATTTGTGTTAGCTCTTTATAGCTCTTGGATCAATACATTCATTTGAAAGATGAAGCCCAGAGAGATGAAGGAACTTTCCTAGGATGATTACGGTGACAGAGCCAGGACTAAACCCTAGATCTGCCAGCCTGGGTTTGCCTTTTCTACACTACCACACGTAGTATCATAAGCAAGCCGACACACCTCACTGAACTGTTACAAGGACGTAATAAGTGCTTTGAGCTGCTCAAAAGAAAATGTCAAGTCTTCTGGGGGAGGGGGTAGAGGCAGGGACCATCCAGATGCCAGGAGGAAAGACTCACTCTGAAGCCAATCCTGGCCTGAGGCATGTAGGGTCTAAGTCTTCCTGCGCTGAATGATTGAGAGGAAGCAACTCACCCACCTCGTCACCCCACAGAACTCTCACCGACATGCCCGTCTCCACCTTTTCCAAAGAAAAGCAGGTCTGTGCCAGGGAGATGAGGGCCATTTTCCTTCCTGTTATTGGCATGAAGGGCCCTGAGGGAGGGGAAGCATTAGAGGCCAGGGAGAAGGCAATTATTGTTTTATCGCATGATTAATATTGTGTATCACTCCCCATGGCTCATGGTGCTCTGCTGTGTCAGCTCAATCCCTGACAGGTCGGGGTTGGTTTTTTCTTTTCCTTTTTTCCTTCCATTCTGACCTATGAACCCTATTGGCCCTAACCCCTGAATTCCATTATCTAAGCCTCTGGCGGGGCAAGGTGCCTCTCCCCACCACCCCATGGGACAATTCAACACCTGTGCCTGGAGAGCCAAGGAGCCCCTCACCTGGAGTGGGCAGTGCCAGCAGAGTGGCATTCCATGAACGCAGATCACGACTGGCCTCCTGGTAGGCAGAGGATGCCTCTGCTTAGGGCAGAGATGGGAGAGCCCCCACACAAGAGTGTGCACACACAGAGACAGATATATGTATAAAATCCCTGGGGCCAAATGAAGTACTGAAGAGAACCCAAGCCAAAAAAAAGGAGCAAACAAAGATGGAGAGGGGGTAAGGCAAGGGAAGGAACAGGGTGAGGAGGGTAGGAGTCCTACCAAAAATAGTTCACAAACATGGCACTTTAAGATTCTCTCAGCTTTATATTTACATATAGTATGTCCCAAAAGTCTGAGTACAGTTGTACAATTAAAAGCTTAAAACTGCACCAAGACATTCGGCACACATTGCATATTACCTCATTTGATTCTCATAATAGTCCTGTGAAGTAAGAACTATTATTAGCCCCATTTTTCCAAATAAGGAAATGAAATCTCAGAAAGGTTAGGTGACCTGCCCAGGGTGACACATTAAGTGTCTGAAGCAGTAGTATTCAAATCCAGGTCTTCCAGGGCACAAGTCTAGTACTATTTACAAGCTATCCCATAATACAAGGTGAGGATGTAGGACAGTTAGGTGATACAATGGACAGAGCACTGGGCCTGGAGTCAGGAAGACCCAAGTTCAAATCCAGCCTCAGACACTTACTAGCTGTGTGACCCTGGGCAAGCCACTTAATGCTATTTGCCTCAGTCTGCCTCATCTGTAAAATGAGTGGAAGAAGAAAATGGCAAATCACTCCAGTACCATTGCCAACAAATGACCCCAAAAGATTCAGACATGACTGAACAACAACCACAAGGTGGGGCATAATAGATGGGGTAGAATGAGTTGAGTGGAGCAGGATGAAAAATGAGATTAACAGACTAGGGAAGGGAGGTAGAAACAGAAGAAGGGGCCAAGGCTTGTAAGATAGGGAACAGGATTGGGAAAAAGCATGGGCATAAGGTGAGGGGTGAAGGGAAGAGGGGCCAAAGAGATTCCAGGCTCAAAGGATCATAGACTTGGATATGGGAGCAAACTTACAAGCCAACATGCCCAACACTTCCATCTTATAGATAAGGACAATGAGGCAAAGAGAGGTTAAGAAACTTGTCCAGAGTCACATAGCTGGGGGCAGGATTTGAATCCAAGTCTTCTGATTCTAAGTCCAGTGCACCATCCACTATTCAGCATTGCCTCTACAGGGATGAATGGCTGGGATTAGGGATGGGGATTGGGAATGGGGATGACGTAAGGGTTTGGGAATAAGGGGAGACAATGGAAAGGTCTGATAACTGGGCAACAGATGATAAGGAAGAAGAACAGACAAGAATATATCAGATCAGAGAGCTGGGGTCACACTATGAAAAAGAATTAGGTCCATCCTGAGTCCCACCCAGAACAGCTCAGTCATTCTAAGTTAAATGCTAGAGGAGAAATGGTTTGGTGGCAGTGACAGGACATGGTTTCCCAGGGCATAGGCCAGGAAAAGGAGCAGACCCTGGCTCTGACCCAGGACCCCAGAAGGAAAAACAACCACTTGACTTTGGATACAGTGGGAAGAAGGAACAGGCAGGCAGGTGGGAGGGTCCCCACTGCTTGAGCTCAGTTTCGGCCCTAGGTCTAAGCTCCATTCCCTGCTTTGCTGGGTAGAGACACACAATAATCATTAGCTCCTCATGAGTACACAGGGGCTTGGCTCAGCCACAGCCTGTGCACGGCTGACCTTGGGTAAGTCACATAGCCTCACAGAGCCTCAGTTTCCCATCAGTGAAATGTGGTACCCTCCAAAGGATGCTGACTAAAATAGAACCCGAGCCTTTTTGTTCTATCCTTGGGTTTTTGTCTCAGAATCCGGGCATAGTGACGAGAGCTAGATGTGGAGCAGACAGATCAGAGATGTCAGGGAGGAATTCAGAAGTGGGTTTTGTCGGTAGGGGGAGGGAGGAAAATTGCCTGCAGCAGCCACGTTCATTTTTTAATTTTATTTTAAAGGGCCTGCCAATAATCAGGTGCTGAGAGCTCTGCACGGGCGGATGGGCAGCAGTTCTCGGACATCATGAGCCACATACCAAGCAGATCTCCGCGTCACTGGACTAACTGTCCAAGTCTTCTGCCAGCCTTTGCCTCCCTCGAAAGGCTCTGTGGCCTTGAGCGCTGAGCACCAACAACTGAGACAAGGGGTAGGGTAGGTTGGTCGATGGTGGGAGGGTTCCCCCCATTTATGCCCAAGCACCTCATCTCATACTAAAATGGATGCATTGGAAGTCTGGAGCATCGGACCTGATGGAGAATGTACCCACAGAATGACATCAGGATAAGACAAAAGTCCAAAGGAGGGATGTGAGTGTAGGAGTCAGGAATGAAGGGATGGCCATAAATCAGAAGCATCATCTCCAAGAGACATGGGGGCATGCATCAGAGTGATGGGAGTAGGTTGGCATTTTCTCAAAATAAAAGGAGAGTGACCTGTTAGATAATTCTGCCCAGGATTCTGGCTTCTTGGCATGTGTCCAGCCTGCTAGGGAGAAGGGATTCTACTTCAAGTGGGACTCCAAGCATATTTTTTAAAGAAGCCAGAGCTTCTGAAGAAGAACCTTGGCAGGAGGGGCCAATCCCAGCCCCTCTCCATAAGGAACATAAATACACACAGAGTATGGGCAGGGTAGGTCGCCCATTCCATCCTCTGTGCACACCTATGAGAAGGCATTCCAACCCTGTTGGAGTCAGGAATCATCTTCAGTTAGACAGGAGAAATGAGGCCCCAGGGAGGAAGGGATTAATTGCTGGGCCTTGGGATCTCGGTCACTATACTATGCATAAGAAATGGCATTAAAAGGTCAGCAAGACTTTGGAAGTCATGGCTTCTGAAAGATGAAAGAATTTAAAAGATTGGAGTGATGGGACAGGCTTGCCTGAGATGAGATATGGAATGGATTCAGTTCAATTCAATTCAAGCATTTATTAAGTGCCTAATGCATGCATGGAACTGGGTTAAGTACACAGAGATAATAATGAAAGAATGAAAATCACTCTCTGATCTCTTCAAAGGGGGACAAATATAAGTAAATACAACACAATAGAAGTAGGGAGAGACCTTAGAATCTGGGAAAATCTGGAAGAGATTCCCTTAGCTCACATATGTGAGCTGACCCTTGAAGACATTTAGGGAGCCTAATAGAGACTTGAAGTAGGATGCCATTCAAAGCAGAGAAAACAAAGTGAGCTGGGCTTTCTGGTTTGGGGGACAACCAAAAGTCCAGTTTGGCTGGACCCTAAGGTAAGAAAAGGGAGGGAAATATAAAATAACTCCTTATGGCCAGTCTCATTATCTAGACAGCTAGGTGGTGCAGTGGATAGAGCACTTGGCTTGGAATCAGGAAAACTCATCTTCAGGAGTTCAAATCTGGCTTCAGATATTTACTAGCTGTGTGACCCTGGGCAAGTCACTTGACCCTGTTTACTTTATTCTCCTCATCTGTAAAATGAGCTACAAAAGGAAATAACAAACCACTCCAGTATCTTTGCCAAGAAAACTCCAAATGGGGTCATGGAGAGTCAGACAAGACTGAAACGAGTCAATAACAATGCCCAGACAATGCTGATCTAAATAGCCCTTTTCCCAAATCAGTAATTGCTGCAATAATGAGAAAGGGAGGAACAGTGAGTGATTTAGTACTTGAAGGCCATAAAAAGGCTATTAGAGATGGTAGCCAGAGAGTGTTCATTTCCACCGGAAACCAAATAAGCAAGACTGGCCGAAGCTTCGTGAGGTCCAGGTAGACCAGTAGATTCTTCGAGCTGAGGTAAAACAACAGACTGCCAAGGTAGGCTGAATAATGTCTTTAAAAAAAAAATAGGCTTCTACCAGGCAGACCCCTGAGGCGTACTCCTGCCCAGAGACAGAAGAATGAATGGGATGGCCTTTTCAGATAACTCTTTCATTCACATTCATACAATGATGGGGGGATACCAGTACCAAGCCAAAAGCCAAAGAAAGGAGTTGGCACTGTTGCTCCTTGTTAATTTTAATTT